AAATTTCTTTTTCTTTCTTTTTCTTTGTTTTTTGTTTTGCTTTCTTTTTTTTCCTTCCTTTTTCTTTTCTTTTCTTGATTATTGATTTTCTTCCTTTTTTCTTTCTTTTCTTCGAAGTTTTTGGTGAATTTTAATATCTTTTTTTTTTTTCTTTCTTTTTTCTTTCAGTTTTCTTTCTTTCCTTTTTTTTTTTCGCCCTTTTTCTTTTCTTTGCTCAATTTTTTCAACAACTGAAGATGATATTTATTTTTGTTAAGATTTCAGTTTTATTTTTCTTTTCTTTCTTGCTTTTTTCAAAATTCTTTTCTTTCTTTCTTTTCCGAACTTTCATTTTTCAACACAGTTTTTTTTTTTTTTTTTTTTTTCTTTCTTTATATTTCTTTTGCATTCTTTAATAAGTGTTCTTTCTTTCCTAAAATCAAAACGTGCCTTTGAATTTTCTTCCGTCTATCCTTAAAATCAAACAGGAATGGAGTTCTTTTATCAAGAATACATTGAGGTTTCTCTGATTGGAATTTCATTATCGAAATCTTTTAATTCAAAAATCGAAAATCGTTAATTTTTCCTCTACTTGACAGATTGGATAATCTTGAATTTATTGTGGTGCTTTTCCATTCAAATGGCACATTTAAAGCTCATTGTGACTGGTTTAAACCTTGAATAGTTCATGTTTAAAACATTTTAACAAGAAAAGATAATTTCTGACATTTCCATATTGTGAAATATTTACTTCATTGACCGAGCAGGCATTCCTCATCTTTTATTGTCATTTGACCTCTAAACAATTTTTTTAGTTTTTCGAAACGTCGTTTATGACAATAAAGATACGGACAACAGTCCGAAAAATGTACATTTTTTTTTAACTGACCTCTTTTTTTGAAATAATCCTCCAATCATTATATCTTGATCCTGGACTATTTTCTTTTTTGGATGGTCCTATCCACAGCTCTGCTTTTCTGTGAAAGTGAACAAGTGATGTGTTTTTTTTTTGTTTTTTTTTTAGTATATATATTAATTGTTTTGAGTATATACAAGTTTCTATATAATTGTTTTTTTTGGACATAAAAGTACTCTGACCATAATTGATCGTAATTAAAGATTTCTTTTTTTTTTTTTGAACATTTAACCAATTATCTTAAATTTATTGCTCCAACCTAAGGACAATCTCTTTCCTGATAAGCTATTTGCCAAACTGCTGCCATTTGACACATTGTTACATCAAGACATTTATTTTGGTAGTAATGTTTTAACCAATGATCATATTTTTTGGTTGATTTTTCTCTCGTTAGATATAGAATTCTCCCCAAGGAATCCACAATCAAAAAAAGCCATAAAACTCTAGAATTTCACACCAAAATTGTTTAGTCTTTCTGAATTCTATGGTTAATATAAGAGGTAATGTTTGTCTATATTTTGAGATGGGGTCTTGTAACTGTTTATGTTTATTCTTAGTTTCCAGTTTTTGATTTTAGTAACTCAACACTCGAAGTTTTATTTTACATCTGCTGTGGCCTTCATTGAAATCACAACACTTCAAGCAACAACTTTATCCATACGTCATAGTAGTTTTAAATTTTTTCTGAAAAAGATGACACATGGAACTAATACAATCTACCCCAATGAACTAAATAAAGGGTTCTGTTCAAAAGTCCAGCGTATATCACCTGAAGAAGGTCGGAATTTTAATAATGACCGAAATTTGAATATGATTTAAAGATGGGAAAATAGTCCGAACAATGTACAGGGTGCAGATGGGTAAATTGTTGCCATTTTATATTTTTAATTTTGCGCATGTTTGTTGTTTGTTTTTGATTTTGTCGACTGCACATTATAGCAGAGTTGTTTTTTAGCACCGTATGTGAAAAAAGTACCATGACGCAATTCACCCCAGAAATTTGGAAATGCATACTATGTTGCTTGGCATTCATGCCAGGAAGCTCCAATACGAACATTTCATAGTGTTTGGGTGTCAATCTGAGGACAGTGCAGGGATTCGGAAAGAGTTCGGATGAATCCAATGGTGATCATGGTACAGGAGCTGATAAACACACTCTTATTGTTGGTGATGAGTTATGAACTCCTGAATTTGTTGGTGAGGGCTCAGATTCAACACGGAGGCTTGCATCAAGTGCCTAGAGGAGGTAGTGCTGCCCAGATTCAAGAGGGTAGTTACTGGAAGACGATATGTCTGGCAATAGGATTCTGCACTATGCCACACAAGCAGAAGAAGCCACTAATGGCTTGTCAGACACATCACCCCTGACATCTTGCCACCTAACTCCCCAGACTGCAATCACTTTATTATTATTTGTGGGGCGTAGTTCAACAAGAAACCAACAAAACTCCTTGTAACACCAAAGATGAACTGAAGGCAAGGATTATTACAGCATTCACGAAGTTAAACAAGGAGACCGTCCAGAAGAGATGCTGGAGATTCCGAAGTCTTCTGGAGGCAGTGGGTGAGGCCAATGTCGATTTTATTGAATACATTTCAATATAG